ATGACTGAAGAAATATTTTCGATGAAAGAAGATGTAATGAAAATGGGGTATTTAAAATTAAAATTATGTTGTAAATACTAAATAATATATAATTTTTACTACAATCATCGTACTGACGAGGTCCAATTGTGGTAACGGTAAGAAATGTATGCTACTTGATGGACCGAAACATTTCTTACCTAATTTAATAATTCTTTTCATGTTTTCCATCATATATTTTTTTCTTTAATCTTAAATTGTATATATTTAAGAGGTGGGTTGGAGGGGAGGGGGAAGGGAACAAAATTAATTTAAATGATCAGACAGGAATGTTTCGGTCCATTAAGTCGTATATATTCCTATTTAGTCCTTATTTAAATAAGGATGTCTAAGTGCGATATCAGATGAATACAAGGAAAAGATAAATTTGCGTATCTCAGATTTATGATTCACAAAATTGTGATCCTTAACTTCCTGCTTTTTAGCTCCCACACCTTGGAGTTGAAGCGACTGGAACAAACGAAGAGACATATTTCTGCTTAATTATAATTCTTGTTTAGTTGTATACGTTTTGGATGTTCGATAAATCCATAAAATAAATCCATAAAAGTTCCATAGTAGTTTCGTATCCATAAAAGTTCCATAAATCCACAAAATTTCGTAGAAATCGGGTTTTTTTCGGCAAGCTTGTTTGCTTTTCACATGGGAAATCGGTGTCGAGTAGTTTACCTTTCAGTCAGAGCAGGAAAAAAGCGAGAAATATAACATTGCATTTTAGAAGAATGACGAAATGAACGCCAGAATGACCAGCAGCAGCGGTCCCCAGATGAAGCCTACAAATGCAGCTGACGATTGTTGAAGAGGTGCTGGATCTGTTGGTATCGTAAAGGTGTGATATGAGAAATAACAGCTGATGATACAGCTCATGAAGAATCATGATTTTAGCTACTAAAACATATATCGATGATTATCATCAAAACTGGAATTTCAGGATGGATCGAGTATCTTTTTCGAAAAACGTCTTGATTTTGAGAAGGAGAGAAAGACAGTTGTTAATGGGAGAATTTTTTGTAGTATCAAGAATTCATTAGGATTTTTCAAGTGTGCAATAGACT